CTCTCCTTCTCTCCCTCTCTCTCCCTCCCTCCCTCCCCCTCCCTCCCTCTCCCTCTCCCTCACACACACACACACTCATACACACACACATACATACTCATACACACATGCATAAGAATTTAAAAGAAAGGTCTACAGATACTTGAGGCACAAAAAGCTCAGTTGTCTCCCCATGTGCTAGGGTGCAAAGAATGTCTTCTGATAACTTTCAGACTCCTAAATAACTTTGAGTAGTTTAGCTTCTTACTGACTTTTAGTGGCCTTTAGATTTTTCTTTAAATCAGTGCTAAATTTTTAAATCAGTGATTAAATCAGTGGGAGAATGTATTTGTATTCCTCATTAGTCTTCTTGTTAAATAAGAGTAACTCTGAAGTCAAGATTTATTCTTGTGCCTAAAATTAATGTGTATTCATGTCATTCAGGTACTTTACTTTTATCATTCTATTTTCACTTAGGAAATGAGTCTGTAAGAAGAACTAAAATCAAGACAATTTGATATTCAAGCTGTTGTTTAATCTGATTATATGAAACTTTTAAAAAGCCTTAAAAACAAAACAAAACAAAACAAAAACCCAACTTAAATCTAAGTAACTTTGAAGGTTGATCTTTTAAATTTTGTTAGATTCCACATTAATCTTATTCCTTTTATTTCCCTGAAAGTTACAAAAAGAGAGAGAGAGGACAATTACAATATCTGAAGCAGCAGTGAATTATTATTTTGTTCTCTATATCTCAGATATCATAACGGCCATGATCAAAGAATTCGTCACCAAATGGTCATCCTGTTGGTGATGAACCTCCTAGAATTGGTCCTGAGGAAGCAGTCCTGGTCTCTTGGTGGAACCATACTCATATCTCAATTAAGTGACTAATCACCTTGTACTTAAATCTTTATGAACCAGTTTGAGAGATATCTTTTTCTTGGTATGTGGAAAGAGAGTTCACCTTTTTCCAAACAATTCTATCAGCTGGACCGTTGAACTTGACTAGCAATTACGTTGTTTTTAAAGAGTCATAGTCTTGATGGAGTTATCCAGAGTAGTGTTTCAGAATACCCTCCTTCCTATTAGTTCTGTAGAATTGTTTTCTGAGAATAGGTAAAAGGTTTTGGACATAATGCAGGTGAGAAGAAAAAGAATTTTAATTGTGATAGAGTATTTGGAGAGATGATTTACATCTTTATGACTCATCTTTTCCTTTTTTTATTTTATATAAGGTATGACTATAATGAAAAGAGTCTTTAAAAATATACATACTGGATCTTAAGCATCCAAATGAGTGCAGTCTTTTTCAAAGTGACAGTCACTTTATTTCAGTGTCCTTCCTTACGGAAAATAAGTTTAGAATTACTTTATAGGAATTGACTTTGGAACCTTTCTGCTGCCCATTCTTGTATTTTTTTTTGTTTGTTTTATTGTTGTGTCTTGTTTTTACTTGACTTTTATTTCTAAATATATCTCTCTTCCTCCCCTACCCAGAAAGCTGTGCTTTATAACAAAGAATAAAAAAGAGGGAGAAAAGAAATTTAACACAATTACCCAAGTCTGGTAGTTTATGCAATGTTCCACACTCCTAGTCCCTCACGTCTGCAATAGAGGGATTTTTCATCTCTTCTCCAAAGCCAAACTTAGCCATTATAATTATGTGGCACTCAATTTCATTTCTTTTGTTCTTTCCATTTACATTGCCATAGCTATTATGTGTTTATTTTCCTGGTTCTACTTATTTCATTTGGGATCAGTTCACATAAGTCCTCCCAAGCTTTTCTGAATTCTTCAAACATGTTTCTCATGGTGCAATAATATTCCATTACATTCACATACCACATTATTCACATTGTTTAGCTATTCCTCATTAAGAATCTGTTTTGTTTCCAATTATTTGTTACCATGAAAAGTTGACACATTCTTTTGAATAGCTTTGGTGATGGCAAACTTCAATTGTTCAAGTATGGATTTAATTCATTAAAATAGCTCAAAGTCATTTGGAGCCAAGTCTAAATAAGGTGGGTCATGAAGTTGAACTCTTTTCCACCTATTATTGCTAAAATTGAGTTCTGCCATGTGCATGTGTGCATTTTTAAAGGTGTGTTTCACTCTTTGGTCAGTTCACTCTTTGGTCCTCAGTTTCCTTCCTCTGTAAATTGAAGGGTTCAACTAGATGACTTCTAAAGTTTCTTCTAATTCCAAACCTGTGGTTCTATAAAATAATGAAATTGATTTTCTTGCATGCCTCACTGCCTGGTTCTGAAGATGATTCTTAAGAATCATAGTTTTAAAGCTGCAAGGGACCTTAGCAATCTTCTAGTTCAACTCCCTCATTTTACAGATGAGGAGAATGAGGCTAAGAGAGAGTAAGGAAGACTGTTTCCTGGGATTCCCAGTGCAACATTCTTTCTGCTGTGCATCCTCAGATGACTGCGTTCAAGCACAGCACTCATTTTGTTGCATACATTCTGGCACAGTTGTTATCTTTAGCACAGTTGTGTTCCTTAATCAAGCCTTACCTGGAAGGGACTAAAGCATCCCACTTTGACTTGTCCTGTTTTTCACTGGGTCCATTTTCCCCACTGAGACATGGTCCTGGTGCTTTTAGCTCCAGGTTCCTTCATTTGGAGATAGTATTTGTAATGACTTGAAGAGATTTCTTGATAAAACCAAGTAATTCTGGCCAGTGGTCTATGTTGTACTGTTTTTTTTACTCCTGCCTGTAGGGGGAGAACTGATGATGTTTGTGTGTCTGAAATGAATGTTGTTTGTTCTGGAAGTTCAGTTGCCTGTAGAGAATTGTTTCTTTAAGGAGCTTATATGGTGTTATTGAATCTCATTTTCTTTGTGGTTAATTTCAGCTGTTTCCTCCCATACCCGATTGCAGTCCATTGTTGCTCCACCAGTGGATGAAGTAAGCTCCGACGATTCCGATGATATCGTCATCTCTCCATCTCTGCCCATGAAGAAAAAAAACTCTCCCCATGTTTAGCTCTAGGCTTTTGTAACTGTTTATAGAAACTACCCCACACATGAAACTGTTCTTTATTATTGGATGAGGTTAAGGCTAAAAGCACATAGGACTACCTTGAGCCCTTATTCTCTAATGCTGGCAAAGCAATTTGATTGGTAGGGAAATGACATCTATTTATTCTTCATAGAGATTTAAGGCACCAGGCTAGCCACAATGCAAAAGTTATGATGAGTGGTAGAGGATCAAAGAAAGCTTTAGGGAGAGTCCAGGGTAGCTTTTCCCTTAGTTTTTGACAGCATCATTATCAGCATTATTAACAGATGAGAGCTATATTTCAAAGTACAAAAGCTGAATTTCACCTTCTTGTAGTAGAGCTCTTGTGGGCATGATACCTCCCACATTCCTGGGTGTATCCACCTACCTGCTTTAGAGCTCTCTACTGTACAACTCTATAAAGTGGAACTGGTGATTATGTCACTGGGAAAATAAAAATTAAAAAACACAATTTTATAAACCAGAGAAGCTACATTAAAAGTACTTTTGAAAATGTATTAGATTGTCTTAGCAAGGTGGCCTTACAAAGGCCAGCTGTTGGTGTGGCAGGCTGAGGAGAGGAGAGGAAAAGTTACTGATCACAAAGTGCAAATGAAGTCCTCCCTGTCCATTCTGTATATAAAGAGTCCTTGGGTTCTCATCGTCAGTTGTTTTGTTCCTGCTGCATAGTGAAGGCCACTCTTAAACCTTGAGCAGCCCTAGTCCTTGGTAAAGGCCATAACTAGCAGTAGGCCAAATGCTGAATTCCTCCAGAATCCAGCTGCCCCAAATGGAAAGAGCTGCCATACTTGAAAGGAACAACTGAAACACTAGGGATTGTGTGTGTCAGAATAGCACCTCATCTTCTATGAGGAATATTTTTTTAATAGAACTAGTTGAAAAGTGAAAAATTCATTCAAACACCCAAATCTTTTTGCTTTGTTATTAATTTTCATGGTGTCAAATAATTGTTCCTTGAAGAAAAATTTTTTTGACTGGTGGATTGACTGAGCTGATTGGTGGTTTTAGGATTTGGGGAATTCAGTCTCACATTTTGTTTCTTTATGATCTTCCTCCTCCTTGCTTTCACTAGGTTCCAGAGCTAATCTGTTCAGTCAGGCATAAGCACCAGGAAGATTTAGTTAAAACTAAGAAATCCTTGCCTGTAACTGTTCAGTCAGTATAGGTTAAAAATTAAAATTTCTATTTACTTCTCCCCCACTTAAAAAAAAAAGAAATTCATTCAATTTCTTTCTGCGTCTGCTTTTTAACTCTTAGGAATTAATGATCCAAGAAGTTATTTATAACTTTCTGGGGAGAGGGTGAGGGGAGGGAATGATAGCCTTCCTTTTCCTATTAGGAGATTTGGTTGTGTCTACCTTTAAGCCCAAGACTTCTTGTCCAGATAAGGGTGTGGATGGTGACAGGATAATAGGCAACTGTCAAACCAAACAATGGTTACTCGGGCAGACGTGTTCAACGAGCTTCTGTCAAGTCAAAGAAGTTTGATTCTTCTCTAAAATGTTAAGAGTAAGGCTGGAAGGAAGTACAGATGACCTAATTTATAATGTGATCTGTAGGTGTCTTTTGAAGTAATAAATAGGGGAAAGCCCAACCCATTTTCTTCAGCATTTCTAATATGATAAGAGAATTATTTTTGTTAGTAGGCTTAAGTTTTTAAGTAAGAATTATAAATGTAATTATTCTTTCTGTATGTTATACTTCAATATTACATTTAAGAACTTTTTTTTTTTTGGAGGAGAGGAAGTAAATATATAAGTTCAGTCCTTCAGCTACCTGAACTCTATCCACAGCCAGACTTCCAAGGAAGTGAATGCTCTTTGCATTTCTGTCAGAGGAATAAAATCCCTTTTAGCAGAGGAGGGGCATGTACTACTCTGGTTTCCTGAAATGCCTGTGCTCAGGGATTTCTGTAACTCTTCCTGAAGAAAAGCATAGGATGTTGTCAGTTTCTGGTGTGTCTTAACGGTTGCCATTCTATGTATGGTCCTTTCTGTTGTGTGCTACTTAAGTTAAAATTGGCAGAAAAAAGCTGCTAGTAGTGTTTGGTAGGAGGAGAAGATGTGCCAAACCCAAGTGTGACTTGTGCGTATGAAGAGAAAAGAAAGCTTCTCAGGCTGACATGCCTAGCTGAAGAAAATAGGCCTCTTTCTCCAGATTGTGCATTTTCCTTCAGTTGAAACAGAATCTCTCTTAATATTTTGCTGCCTACAATATGACCCCCTCCATGATCCATCTGTGTACTTGCACCCTTATTTGAGTTCCCTAGGAAATTGTCCATTTGCCTGAGCAGAAAACAGCTTCATTTATTGAAAGTCATTTAAGGACCTCAGAAGAAAGCCAAATGCCTATATGAGTGTTTCTGGATCAATCTCAAGGTGAAGATTTGAGAAGTGAGAATTCTCACTGTTTGTGGAATAAACTAGGACCTTATTCCTAAAGATCATGTTTGCACATTGCAAAAGCTTGACTATATTCTGATAGTCTCCATGAGTAGGCTCTGGCTTAACCACCCACCTGAAGATGGTGGCTCATTCCTCTGATGGGAGAAGGACTTGTATTACTACCTTCTACATCCTCTCTTGGAGAAGGAAATGGCAAACTGCTGTGGTATCTTTGCCAAGAAAACCCCAAATGGGGTCATGAAGAGTTGAATATGCCTGAAAAACTGAACAACTGAACCTTCTCTCTGGATAAATAGAACTGCAAGTCGTAGGCCTATTTGCTTAACATCTTTCACCCCAACACCACTGCATTCCCTTGAAAATACAAAATATATAAAGAAAGAAGCAAAATATTACTTTCTGTTCTTATTGTGTAAAACGTTTAATTTTGAAGAGAAAAAAAAACAAACTTTCTCAATCTCAGCTATACTCTTTAAGTAGAAGTGATGGTATCACTCTATGAACAGAAAGCTTAATTTTAGATAGGGAATTTTTCATCACTTTTCTCCCAGATGTGTGTGTTAGTTTTTTTAAATATCAATATCCATTGTTGAGATGGTGCCTGATAAAGTGATGCTTCTATTGAATTTAAGGGACTGAAAGGGCTTTTTAACTGTGGGTTATCATAGCTCACACCAGCATTCTCAGCCAAAGGAAGCTAGATGGCTGCTTCACAATGAAGCTGCTTCTATTTTATCCCTTCACTGGAAATACTGTCTGAACAGTATCCATAGGCTGCTGCTAGCAACCCTCCATCCCTACTGCTACCCTTTTCTGTGGAACTGACCTTCCCCACTGGATGGCTTACCCCTGCTGAGCTTTCACATCCATAATTGTTCTCTTCCATGGGATGGGGGAAAAATACCCTTGTCAGAAGCCGGGGACAGGTTGTTCCATTAGTTTTTCTGTAGATGCCCTTAGAGTTATGTGAGAGTGATTTATAATTAATCTAAGTGGTAGTACATCTATATGGATCACTTGCTTCAGGTTCCCCTACTAGGCCTGGAGATACTGGGAAAAGAATGGGGGGACAGGTGGGGTGCAAGATATGTGGAATATGCAGGTGTCAAGGCCAAAGTGATAGAGCTTCACAGTCTCTTCTGAGATGGGAGCTGTTTAGATGATGCAAATGGTTAAAAGGGGACTCCATTAGTGAGTTAGACAGTAATGCAAAACTATTATCTGCACATTAGAATCCATTACAGGGACACTCATTTTAAAAAACTGAACTGTAAAGTGTTTTAAATGGAGTTAAATCTAAGATGCTAGAAGTATTTGTGTTAGCGTCTTGATCCCAGAGAAAGGAGAAAGTAGTGCAGTGGAAGGTATAGCCTGGAGAAAGGGATTTGAAGGCAAAGGGAAGAAGTGCCCACTTGGAGGGTCAAACTAAACACTGCCTAGATAGGACATGTCTTCCGATAGGCTATGAAATGCAATAGCTATAAAACTGCTTAGACCTGATGATGGGAAGTGGGGTAAAAGTATAGGGGGAAGGGGAAGAAGCTTGAAATGTTAGGAATGTTTACTTTTTCTTTTTTTTGGTGAGGCAATTGGGGTTAAGTGACTTGCCCAGGGTCACACAGCTAGTGTTATGTGTGTGAGGCCAGATTTGAACTCAGGTCCTCCTGACTCCAGGGACAGTGCTCTATCTACTGCGCCACTAGCTGCCCCTACTTTTTTTTTTCTTATACCATTCTTATTAAAGAAATTAATGATTCTGATTAAAAGGATTTCATTTGACCTATACTCACCATTACTCCCAAAAAGAAAAATGGAAGAAATGTAACCTTGGTTTTCCAAATGGATCAGAGCCCATTCTCCTCCTTTTCCTCTTTGCCAGCCACAAAACCAATTGAATTTAGGAATTTAGGAAAAGGCTTGGATCTATCAAGACAGATCCAGCCAAGAAATAAATGCTCCCTGTAGAAAAGACCAAAGACTTGTAAAGTCTTCAAAGTACAAATGAAAATTATTTTCTTGTTGTGGAAGCTCTGTCTGCTCAAATGATGCTCTTCCTCCATAATCTATAGGGATTTACAGTAGACTTGAGGAAGCAAGCATGATGCCTTGGCCAGATTGTGGACTTGCATCTCTCATGCCATCACCTCTTCAAGTGCCTATGTCCTAATAAATGTGGGATACTGTTTTATCCAGTCCTATGTTGATCATGGTTAAATGATTTTTTTTTAAGTTGGAGAAATTAGGAAGACTCTAAAAAGGACGAAATGTAAAACTGTTAACTTGGTTTGCTAGAAAGAGCATTGCTTTTCATGGTTTCTTAAATTTTTTATTTAGAACTGTTCTAATATTGTAAATAATTTATACATGAATCTCTTGGAGTGGGAAAGGTTTTTACTTTTCTTCTCATCATTAGTCTTTATAAATAAAAGTTGTTCTGCAGAATAATTGTCTTGATTGCCCTATAAATGGTTCTTCTAAAATTACTTCCAGGTGTATTATTGCTTTAATTCACATGGCACAAAGGCTTTAGAAATCCCATTTTCCTAGACTTACATAGTTTTGTTCCTGTCATAACATGGGCCCTGAAATTTAGAAACAGGCAGGATCCTGATGTGTCTTTCTCCCTGCCAACATAAGAGGCCTACTTGAGCTGGTGGCTCCTGGATCCATCTTTTAACCTTCTGTCCAGTGCACACTGATGAGAAGAGGAGCTGAAAGAAACTGAAGAGTCAAGGAGTATTTTTGCTAATTTGACTGAGTATTTGTTTCAGGAGCAGTTAAGAGGCCTTCCCTTGGAATTCAAACAATACTCATAGAAATGTCCAAGAAAACGAAACAAAACAAACAAACAAAAACCTGATGGGTTTTATCTCCTGTATTGTTTTTCTTTGATTGCAAAGGGCAGTTGCAACAAGGTGATTTCAGATTAAATTTTGTACATTCCCTTTCCACTAAACTGCTTGCTCTGACACCTTAAATCCTAGGTCTGTGTTGTTTTGGTTCCTTCAAGATTACCTTGTAAATTGTCCCCAGTGTTTGGAAGCTGGGCAGTGTTCTCCTGTAGTAAGTTGCTCACTTGGAAAACTTTGTGATTTGCCCTGAAGACCTGTAGGATTCTGCATTAACTAGGAAAGAACAGTCTGCAGGACACAGAGCTTTGGGCCTCAAACCTGTATCTTCCCCAAGAGTTCCTTTATTTCAGTGAGGCTTATATTTATTAGCAGAAAGTCAAATTCTATGTTGTGAGTGTTCTGCACTGGAATTGTGGAGGGTGAGACCACCCACTCTTAGCATGCATTTAGCCATTTACAAATTATTTAACAATTAGACTTTCAGGGTTCCCACAAAGAAGAATTTCCATTCTTGCTCTAGACTGTTCTCCAGATGGGAAAGGAAAAATCCACTGTGATGCAGTCTATATGCCTCTGGGAACATTCTTTCCTACTAGAATGTTCATTCCAAAGATTGGGATCCATGAGTTATCCCCAAATTCCATTTTCCAGAATACTTAAGAATGTAAGAGCCCCTAAGACATCTAGGGAAAAAGTACTTCCTTACCTTTCCATTCTTTTCCATATTCTGAAAAAGGCAGTTTTACCATAGAAGGAGCACTGGACCTGGGGTTGGAAAATCTCTATTCAAGTCCAGCCATAGAACTGTGGGCATTACAACCTCTCCAAGCCTCAGGCTTCTCACCCATATAATGAGGATGCTACTGCTTGGATTCATTGTATGCAATTGCTGTTCATAAATTATTTATTGAGGTTAAATCCAGCTCTTGCATTTCCTAGACAACTATGTTTGACCTCTCCTATACAATTAAGCATTTTCTAACTTGTATTATAGTTATTTGTGTACATGTTTCATCCCTCCTACTAGTCCGTATGTAAATGTGACCTGTTATTTCTAGAGGGTTCAGAACTTTAACAGTTAAGGTGGAGGGAGAGTGGGGGAATAGGTCTTGGATCTCTTCCTTCCATGTCATGGCTCTTTGTCCAAAGCTCTCCTCCTTCAGCCTGTCAAGGTAAAGGTAGCTGCTTTAATATCTTATTTGATCTAGCCCAATTTAAGCTTGGAGTGTCATGTCTGTTAGACATTGCTGACCTAAGGAATATAAGGAAAGTTTAGTTTTCTAGTGCCCTTATTTCCATGGTACTGGTCTTAACTGGAGAGAGGTGGAAGGCAGAGCATAAGAATCATGACCCGTATGTTAATTAGGCAGCAACATAATAACATGAGGTTCAAAGGAAAAGCTCATCATGCCCACTATAAGAAGCACTGTTCCAAGTTAGGAAGTGAAGCCAGCCATTCACCTTAATGCAGTCCTTAAACACTTTTTCCAGCCAAAACTCACTTTCAATCATCCTTGTCAATGAAATGGAATAAGAACAGGCTTTCTTATTCAAAAGAAGCAGGCAGTAAGCCCACCAAGCCAATGGGGTTAAAAAGGCATGCAAGATGGAAAAAGCTCTTATAGCAACCACCTTGAGGAGAAAAAGGAATCTGGTATCCACGGGGCTTGCAGAGGTGGAGAAAATCCCAACCTGCTGGAAAAGAGGAAAGGAGAGAGTGCTACAGCTATGATGTAACTAGGTATGTCTATGGCAGCTGCAGTATTAGAAGAGCCTAAACATGAGATGAGCATCATAGAATTTGCAGATTCTCTCCCCACCCACCACTACCCCAGATTCATAGTCTTGGATCCTTACAAGTCTCACTATCATCAACTCCTTTGGTGTCCCCAGATTCTATAAGGAATCTGGATTTAGGGGGAATCTTACATGCAAACAAATTAGAGAAAATGTAGCTGGTATATGTACATGACTCAATCAGGTCATATGGAGTACTTAGCACATAGGACCAGTGAACTGGACCCTAGAGCCAGCCAGTTCCTCTCGGCTAAGAGGGATCCTCATTGTTTGGTACCACTTTACTCCATTTCTTCCCCTGCTGTCTAGGACAGATCATCAGTGTAAGAAGATAGCGACTAGGGCAGACACCCTATCCAGGAATAAAAATTAATGACTGGAACTTCCCTTGTCCTTTATCTCTTTTAAGCAACTTGCCCAGGGTCATATAGCTAATAAGCATCTAAGGTCACATTTGAACTCAGGTCTTCCTGACTTCAGGGCCAGTGCTCATACCACCTAGCCATCCTGTATCATCTCTTAATACAGGTCCTTGAGCAGGCTGGATAGGGTGGGGCTTGATTGTGTTTTCAAGCTAGCTTGTAACTGCTTCCTATCCTTTCCTACATTGTAGAATCTTACAATTAAAGTCCTAGAGTTAGGAAAGGAATCTTAGAGGTCATCTAACCTAAGACTTACATGAAGCCTATATCTTCTCTAAAGCAACCTGAATAAGTGATCATTTAGCATACCTCCAGAGGCAGCCTATTCCATTTTTTGTACAACTGTTAGAAAGTATAGATTGATAGAAATCTGCTTTCCTGGGACTTCCACCTAAGGGTCCTAATTCTGCTCTCTGTGGTCAAGCAGAAAAAGGTGACCACCTTTTGCACATGATAACCTTTCAAATATTTGAAAAATATGTTCATGACTTGATTCCCAGCCCCACTACTAGTTGCATGTTCTCCAAGCCAAATATCCTTAATTTCTTCAACTTGTTTTTGTATGACATAGTTTCAAGTCCTGGATGTCCCCTTCTAGAGGTGTACCAGCTTCCTTCAATGACATTCCCAAAATGTGGTGCTAAATTACACATCCTCGAAGTACTACTCATTGATAGTACTCAGCTTCCTGAGGAGATCTGTGGGAGTAAGATGGAATATCAAGCATTGAATGAACATTGATTGAGCAGAAATTTTTTTCTTTGTGCTGCTGCCAAACACTGTGCTAGGTGTTAGGGATATAGAGAGACCCTCACCTTTTACAGATGAGGAAACACAGGCATAGAGAGACTAAGAGATTTATTTGTCCAAGATCACACAGTTAACAGCCTACCTGAGATTTGAACCCAGGTGGTCTGATTCCCAATCCAGCACTTTGTACTCAATGGCATCTGATGGTTGTGTGTATGCATATGTGTGTGTGCATATATACATATATACTTATGTACATGTACATATATGTCCTGGATTCACAGAACCTGGGGGAGGGAAGGTGTGATGTATGTATGTATGCATTATGTATAAATGCATAATGATATGCCAAGTGCTGAATGAATGGTACAGTCATTGCCCTAGTTAGGAGAAGACACATCACTGTGGGAGAACTTGAACTGGGCTTTGAAAGACTAGTAAAATTTGGCTATGAGGGAGAGGATTAGAGAAGATACTTTTGATCTGAGTTCAATGAATGCAATATGAAGTGTTCACTAGAGCTGCCTCCTTATGAAAACAACCTTGCTGCTCAGTCAGTGAGAAGAGATCTGAAGTTTAAACAGTCTTTCTAAATAGTCAATTGTAATTGATTTTTAATGTGTCATAGAAAGGGATTTAGTCATGTCCCTGCATTGTACTATGGTGCTTACAGGGATTAATTAGCTTGGTGATAGAGGTACCTTCTCTTCACAATGTGTGGTTTATAGATGGAGTAAGGAAAATGAACGTTTACATAATTAAGTCCTGGGCAATG